CCCTTAGTTAGACATAGAGCTGGACAGGGGGTTTGCTCACACAGTGGAGCCACTGGAGCCTCAGACTCAGACTCAGTTGTAGAGCCAGGAGAAGGACACTGTGTCAGAAGAGGATGGGGAGTTTGTGTACACAGTGGAATGTCATCAGACTCAGGCTCAGTTGTAGAGCCAGGAGAAGGACACTGCACCAGAAGAGGAGGACAGGGAGTTTGTGTATGCAATGGAGCTGTTGGAGCCTCAGACTCAGGCTCAGTTGTAGAGCCAGGAGAAGGATGCCACACTCCACAATATACTGGGACCTTAGTTGGTGATGAGTGCTGTGAAGGTGGACAAGGTATTGAGTGACATTGAGTTGGACATGGGGTATCAGCTTGAGGAGGAGTGTCACACTCAGGATCAAAACTGGGCCCACAAGTTAACAAGGAATAAAATTGAAACTGGGACACTCACACTTTATCTGCCCAATCAGTATTGGCAAGGGCCCCAGGGAGTTGGTATGGAAGCAAACATTGTATGAGCTGCTCATATTGACAAGGGTGGGAGTGCCAATATTCAGGGTCAAGTAGCTGGTCATCAGACACAGTTAAATGAGGGCTAGTGCTGCTCTTAGTAAGGCTGGGATCACTGAGTACAACATTGTTGAGGTTGACATCATCTGGTATGTCAAAGAAGCACTTGGCAGCTAGAGGTAAGTCCATGAAGGAGTTGGACTTAGTTCTGCCATGGCATAGGTAGGAGCAGAGTCACATGGGCATAACATGCTATCATCCCTTCCATACTTCCCCCCATCTCCTTCCTCAACATGCTACTCACAACAAACATGGATCTGTCATTCTCTGCATCTCAATTGACATTTCAGAGTATCCCCAGTATTTTTGACACTCCACTGAGCCCAATGCCAGCTGGATCAAGTCATCAGCAGCAGATCAACATGCTGAATAAGTCATGCTCATTCTCACAAGACATACCATTTTCTCAGGCTTCTCAGGTGTGTCAGAAGATTGAATTACATTCATTAATTGGCAGAATTGAATGCCTGGGTCACCTGGGGTCTGTATATGCATCATCTAGTCCCAGCACTATCCCAGCTTTGCCCACCAGCAGATATTCCACAATCAGATGATGTCAATGTATGAAGCAGAGATCAAAAACCTACAACAAAAATTGGTGAAGACTATGGCTGAGTGCAATACAATCAAGTATGATACAAGTAAAATTTCCTTGCTCATTCAATTGTTTTCAGGGATGCATTTCAAGCACTGACATCAGTGCTTAAACTCCCAGAGGATACAGATCCATTGTCTTTTTCACTCACAGATATCAACATCAACTTCCAGGCAAATACAAATGAATACACAAAGCATTCAAAGGAAGAATACCCTGGATTGCACCTTTGGGTTAGATCGGACTATGATAGTTTTGTGATGTCCACAGAAGCCCAAAGCATGGATTGTGGAAAAGCCCCCTGGCTTGAACAAGCTGAATGGTGATTGAATAACACCTGATCAACTTAGAGCCATCCATGCCAGCCTCCAATGTGCCTGGGCTGAGTTGGTGCAACACAAAATTGCACCACAAACATGGACAAGGATCAGTGCATCAGCAAAAGCACTCATCTACAAGATTATGGTCAAGGAACACCCCCTCATCAGACTTGATGGAGACAGTTTCAAGCTAGAAATGCTTTGCATAAACAACTATTCCAGCTGGCAGAAGAATCATCTGGGACTAAATGGTGAGTGGAAGGAACCTTCATCAAACAAAGCCAAACCAAAAGAAGAGTTGAAGCTGGAATTTCCTGATGCCATGCCACCTATGGATAACAAAGGTAAAAAGTGCAAGAGTGATACCCAGCCAGTCCATGAGCCCACTAAACAGTGTAAAAGTCAGTTTGTCACTCTCTACACATTCCACTACTGATGTTTGTACTTGGAGATTCAACAATGGAAACAATGAGAGGTTCACAGCATGTAGAGCAGCTGGCTGACACCATTCCAACAGGTAATGTATTCAATATTTATAGGCTTGTGAAACACAGGAAGACCATCTTGTTTCAGATCTTGTCAATATGAACCACAAGGAGCTGCTGTGCCCTCCAGGTCATGACCAAACCACAGAGGACATCCCATTTGGCATTGTCTTGCTGATGCCTACCAACCAATCACAGTCACCACCTCACCCTTCCACCTGTGCTCTCATCAACAAAGAGAATGAGTTCCCCTCATGAGATCCACTGTACATCCTACTCATTGTATCAACATGTGAACTAACTTCATCCCAACTTTAGCATGAATGTACTTGGTATGAGAGGAAGCACAAAAGCTGCCACACCCACCTGCCCATCCATGCTCTCCTGTCACAACTCAAACAAGGAGAATGAGTTCCCCTTACAAGATCCACTGTAGGCTTTATTCATTGTGGTGACAGTAAGCTAACTAGATCCCAGCCCAAGCACAAATGTGTTTGGTTCGAAAGGGGTTGCAAAGAAGATCCCTCTAGCATCAGCCCAACCTAATGTGCTGCTGCCTGTGAGCAAGGAAAGTCTGGAAGTCTCTAGTGCCAAAATAAAGAAGAAAATGCATCCAGGTGCTGCAAAAAATGCAAGGTAAGTCTCGTTATTAGCTTGTAATACCAACTATCTACCTGTCCTGCTAGAAACTGATGTGCACTTCAATGGCTCAAGCAAGTCAACACAAGTGGAACAACAGATGAATTCAGGGTTTATTAGGGACTTGCTAGCAGCTAAACACCATGAAGACTATTGGCTTGAAGCTGAGTGTCTCAAGCAAGAAGGAAAGTGAATGAAACTGTCTGATCCTGCTGTGTGTGACAGTAAGATGCATGAAGGAGCTTAGGTATTTATTCTCCCCTCCTCTGCTTCATTTGATGTTTCTTTAGTTGTATTTTGTTCTCAGCTTTGACATCTTGCATTCCCTGGCCTGCTGCTCACACACTCATCCCAATATTACCTGCTCCCTGCCCCAGGAATGTTGGCTTTGATGTCTCCCATTCCCTGGCCCTGCTGCTAACACATCTTGTACACTTGTCCCACTTGAGCATGGGATCTTGGCTTCAACATCTCACATTCCCTGGCCTCACAACTACCATATCTCACACTCTCATCCCAATGTTTTCTGCTGCCTGCCCCAGGAGTGTGTGGGCCCCTGCATTGTGTGTAGGATTAGTACATGTTGTAATACAACTGGATCCAGATTCAACAGAATAAAAAATGCTGTGAAATGTTCATATCCATCCAAATAAGCTGAGATTGGATTGACCAGATTGCATCAGATGAGACAAGTTGTCATCATATTCAGCCTACAGACACAGATGGACATAGAATCTATTGAAATCTGATGGGATCTGATTGTATGTACAGAAATCCAGTGTCATCCACCATCAACCTGCCTCCTCATGTAAAGAATCGAATGCAGCTGGGTCACATCTAATCACTATCTACAGGGTATCTGATCTTGTCCAACTGGACCCTACCTGATCCTACACAGTTTTGACTGGGCCTGAGGTGTGACATGCATCAATGCATTCTATGTCCACAACTCACAGATCAAACTGGTCCATGTATGTATGGCATAAAATCTGCACATTTATTTTTTGTGGTTGCATCGCCACATCACTGCATCCATTCAGCTGTGATGCCTATATGCCATGGCCTCACCACTGCATTCATTCAGCCACATCATCCAGATGTCATGGCCTCACCACCTCACTGCCACACCCATTCAGCTGCATCCATTGCTTTTAACTCTACCACCATGTATTTGTATTATTGTATATACTATGCAGATGAATATATTTGGTTGGAGAGCATTTTGTTTTCTTCTACTCATCATCACCATACAGTAGGGAGTGGGGGAGTGTGTAGATATAAAATGAGAGCAACAATGTCACATATAGATCAGGTCTACTATGGACAGAGGGAGTGCAGGGAACTAAAGATCCTCTGCCAAATGAATGAATGAGCTGTGGAAGAAGGAAATAGAGAGGGACATATTAATACCTGGGATTCTCTCTGCACAGATGGCTCCTTGACAATTTCAGTGGCCTTGCCCTCTAGGATTTCCCCTGGCAGTGTCTCCTTTGGCACCAATCCCTCCCTGTCCTTGTGAAATATAAGACTGGCTTCTACTTCTGCTTCATGCATCTGGTTGTGCTTCTGTTCTTCAATGTCAGCTGTGTGTAGATAGTCTTCAAGTGCATGGAAAGCAGTTTGTGAAAGGAAGATCTGCAGGAGGTGGAGATAATTCTTGCAGATAAATCTTTGACACCAGCAAGTGTGGGTGCAGGTGCAGAGGATGCTGAGGAAGTGGATAACATAGAGTAAGATGGAGATGCCTCTGGGGTATCAGGAGCAGTGAAATATGAGGTGGAGATGGGGGTGCAGAGGAAGCCAGGGAGGTGGATAACATAGAGTAAGACAGAGATGCCTCTGGGGTATTGGGAGCAGTGAAATATGAGGTGGGGATGGGGGGCAGAGGAAGCCACAGAGGTGGATAACATAGAGTAAGATGGAGATGCCTCTGGGGTATCAGGAGTGGTGAAATATTGGGCTGTACCTTGCTCATTGGATCCCTGTACCACTGACAAAATTCATCTGGAGTCATACCAACCTCAGACACACATGCATTCCTCTTTGCAACCTTGACCAGCCCTGAGCTGCATACCTGCCCTTTGACCAATCATCCCTTGAGCTGATTCAGGAGTTGGGAGTTGTTCAAGTCAATACAGAATATGAACCATGTGATGGCTTGATGAGCAATAAAGGTTGTCAAAGATTGACAAAAAAAAGTCTGTCTGGTGTGACATCAACTTTGAATCCAACAAGAGTTGTACTTACCTTGTTATTATACTTATGCTTCAAAATTGGCTTATGAGCCAGGCCAAGGTAACTTTGACTTAGATGAAGTCTTGTCAATTTACACAATGTGCCACCACAATTCTACATACAATCATAAGAAATAACAAATGATACATGACAAGACCTATGTAGGTATAATGCTCTGGACAAGATGATCTCTAACATGAGTAATGAATTGGTGGGAGTGGGTGAGTGGTTTATTTATGTGCATTATATTCAAAAACATATACCTCTTGCAATCTTTGCCAATGTGGCCAAACTGCAGATTCTTGAAGAGATTAATAGCATTGTTGAAACTGTATGGGCTCCTTCCATTGAGGAGGAGTTTCCTCATGCCATTCCACCACACCACACCCCAGTCTTCTTCACACCCCTTGTGATCCTGACAGCAAGTGGCATGTATGATGGGGGGGCCTCCACAGCAACTGTGCAGATGTACTCATCCAGGTGAGACCTGACTAAATGTAGGTGACATAAGTTTCCATCCCCATCTAGCAATGGTGAATCTTCTTAATCTTTGTCAGAGGGAGGCTGCAGAGCCTCATAAAACCTCTTTCAAAGAGCACCCAAATTTTGCACTCAATGCCTAGATAAATGAGTTTGGAAGGATGGAAGGAATAAGATTTCTTGATGATGCAAGAAGTAACAAAGCTGAGTAGGCATGTACTGCATTGAGACTTGCAGATAAACTCCAGGAGGTTCTTGAGGTCATCTGCAGAATATTTAGCAGGTGGGTGGGGACTTTAGTAGGTGAAATCAGTAAGTGCACCAGAAGCAGAAACTCATAGACTTACCACATGAATGTGATCTCAAGGAACAAGTCAAAAATTTCTGTAGTGAGGAATCTGTCCTTCACAATAATCAGGTTCTGATCAGCACACCCCTCCCCATCCTTGTCATCCAGCACAAATTTGCCAAGTGAAAAGAGGTCAGAAAAGAAGGCCAACTTGTTCACCAAGATGTCATGGTTGAGTTTGTAAAGGGAATCTTCAACCAGGATAATGTACATGCCATTTTCAAAATAAAAGTTGGGATGGCAGGTGGCTGTCATGGTCACTGACACTGGAGGACTACTCGGTGGAGTCATGATTGGGATGAAACACTGGAGAGGATAGGCCTAGAAAATTGTGCATCAATATTATGTCAGTTATTTGTTTGGCTGTATGTGGGTTTAGGCTTCATGCATCCAGACCTATGTACTCTATTATTGATGGCAACTTTGCTCCCAAGTGCCAACCCTCAGCTACCTGTGAACACCACACCATGGCCACCCAATCTCCTCACTGCTTTTGATTCACTATCCAAAATTTACCAGCATGCTCTCCACACCTAGACTCAAGAGGATGACCACTTAGTTTGCTTGGACTGCCACCTTGGCTTTCTGGAAGGCAATGCAATGCATCTCCTTACTGCAATCAAAGAAGACCATCTAGGATCTGATCTGTCTGACTGGCTCTCACTGGCAGCTGAGTCAATTGGAAGACTGTATGTGGCACTTACATGTTATCAAGACAGCATGAGGACTTGGTGAGTATGTTTGAACAAATGGCTGCTGACACTAACAGTCTGTCATGCAAACTCATGATTAGTGTCAATGATACTGTAGAGATCCCAGAGCCTGTGATGGAAATTCACACCAGCTTACAAGGATGACCAAGGAAAGTCATTCAATGTCAGCATTCTCAAGGAGGCCATTTCAACTTCAAAGCAAATCCACACCACTGAGCTTGCATGCATCCTCAGAATCTACAGAAACACCTTATGTTCTTACATGGAGTCTCACAGCATCAAATGAAGATACACAAAGATCATGGATATGCAGCTCAATATGCTTGTTACTGCATTCAAGAAGAGACAGCCCAAGTCCAGCCTTCACTATATTATGGGGTTTATGTGAGCACAGGGGATCCATGTGCAACATTGCCACATAATTCAGTCACTTCAAAGGATCAATTGACTAGGTCAAGCTTTATGAGACCATCACATGAAAACAAGACACAAGTATCATGTCAAATGGCCAAATGTGCTGTGGCACATCAATGGCTACTACAAGCTGATCCAGTGGGGAATCATCATTCATGGGTTTATTGATGGCTTTTGCCACACAGTACATCTATCACCTACTCAAGTTCATCACATTTGTTGATTCACTCATAGGTTACCACAATTCATGCTAGTGACAACAACTGGTCATCGACTGTCCTTTGTTTATTTGAACATGCTACTAAACAATATGGAATACCTTCTTGTGTATGTGGATACTGTGGTGGTGAGAACATCAATGTTGCAACATACATGATCATGAAGAATGGCTGCCACCATGGCTTGTTTATCTGGGGAACATAAGTTTTACATTATTTTTGTATTCATTGTTGCTGATCATATGGATAGTTCAACTTGGAATTGTCACATCAAGCATTTATGGGTCAAAGTTGGATCCCAATTTGCCAGGCACTGGCATGGTTTTTTTGCATGACTTAAATGTGTCCATATGCTCAATATTGAAAACCTGTCACATATCTGGTTACTCCACACACTGTTCCTCAATGATATCAATCATGATTGCCAGGTGTTTTGGGAGGAGTGGAACTGCCACCTGATGGGTGGCACAGGTACTAACCACAAGAGTCCATTGGTAAATGTCAAATTTTATTAGTTTATACTCTTTTCATCTCATGAAATAAAGGATATTCATCTGCTTGGTCAGATTCAGTTTGGAATCTACCAACAACATGAAGATCATGAAGGATGTAACCTTGCCAATGATGAAGCAATGGAGATGGCTGATGTGATTGCCCACCAACAGTGAGTGCACAGTAAGCATGAGGCTGTGCACATACCCTCTCTTCAGAACCCTTTTCAGAATGACAAAGAAGAACTAACCTTCTTCAGGGGTCTTCAAGAGGTAGTCACCCAGGACATCATGCCAGAAAATTTCGGGTTGACAGCAATGGAATGGGACCCTGACATGTACCCACTGATTGAGACTATACACATTGGGTGCCACATGTGAAAAGAGGTAGATATTTCATTGGCTGATGTGATTTGGTATTCCTGGGCATGCCTATGGTGCCAGGCATTGCCTATGTTATTGTTCTACTTAATGAGCTGTGGCTCATGATTTGTATAAATGCATCTGAATTTACTGTGGTAACACCAAATGCATTTCACCCCATCCTCACTAGCATGCTGTGTGTGTTGACCTGGACAAACCTCTGCCAGGGTGGAGGTGGTCAATGTGATTGTGAGCACTTTGGGGCTAAGGCAGATGATGCTGCTCATTGCTGGGAAAGTTCACATGGGTTCAGTAAGCACCCACATGCTGACAATTACCCAGCCATCAATACCTCAGGCTGTCAGTGCCCCAGCCATCACCCAATCCCAGCCTGCCACATGTGGCTCATCAAATGTGGCAAGAATATTCGAAGGACTTACTTCAAGATGTCTCACTGGCATTTCTCAACCAAATCCCTGCCAGGAGGCACTGGCAACTAAATCCTCAAAGCCAAAGCTGCTTTCAATGTTACAGATGTCTGCTTCTAATGAGCACAAGGTAGGCATTTGTGGTACCTTGGGACCACTTGGGCTGACATTTTTATTCCAGCCTTCTCATTGGCAAACCAGTGGTCAAATGTTCCATGTCAGTTCCATCATGAATCATTACATGTGGAATAGATGTTGTTTTTTTTTAATAATTTTTATTGTGCAGACTCTTACTTTGCAAATCGAAATACAGGCAAATGGTCAGTTAATGAAGGACCTGATCTTGCCACAAACAACTGCAGAGAGGAGACTTTTCATCCAACACTTGGAAAACCATGGGTGCTATATCCAACAAATGATTGAAGTTAACTCTTCTTGGTCATATGATGAAGTTACAGCCCAGCTTCATTTGTGGTTCCCAAACATTTTCCAATATTTTGACTCTCATTGTGAGAAAGCCAATATGATGTCCCAAACCCAACCTGACTGGCAGCTTCTTGTTCCTACTAATGGCAGACTTGAGCTCTCTACAGCTGTTTGACCAAATGGTATTGTTCTTACCTGTTTCAAGGGATGTCAGAAGTCTGGCATTGCCAATAGTAACCTGTGGTTCAGTATGTGGCTAAAATATTACAACTTGAGCCATCCTTATTTTTTGGACAGTCACTTGAAACTCTGTCCCCAATCATGTTTTCAACAAGTGGAAGGTTGGATCAGACATAATGGGAACTGATGAAGAAGCTATGAGTGAGAGTGATGATGAGGTGGTTGAACTATTGAGTTCTATTGCCAACCTCAAAATCACTACTGTGACTGGGACTGGTAAGTTAAGTCAGTTTATTCTAGAAAATTTGCAGGTGGTGGTGTGTGGGAGTTGCAAATTTTGGACTGGCCTCCCAGCCACAGTGGCTTGCCCTTGGCAGCAGGGATGGCCTGTTCAGAGTGTCTGACACCTCATGACAGCACTGGCATTGTCGATGTGGCATTGGAGGTGTGCTAGGGTGTGCTAGGGTGTGCTAGGGTGTGCTTGGGACACAGAAGCAACACATGGTGGGGGACTTACATGTCAGGCACATTATGATCAGGGTCCACACATGGAGAGTGGAACATCCCCATGTGATGCTGATCACTTAGAGACTGGACCTCCCATCCATTGTGTTCAATAACTGTGTGATTTGGATTCAGATGGAGGGGGTGCAAGTGCAGGGGTGCCACTGTTAAATTTACATCAAAAATTGATCACTTTTGCAGTCAGCAGCTAGTATTGGCCTTTGGGCATTCTCATTCAGTAGGGGGGAAACTTTGTATGCTACAGTGCCATGTTGACATTTGTCATTTTGACTTGGCAGTGCCTCTCAATAGTTTTCAGCTGAATTTGTTCTTGGCTGGTACTACATACTGAGCTCTGTCTAATACATTGTATAGTACAGTATGTTTGCATTTGTCAAGGCCAAAAATCCACTGCCTCTGTGCTCATTGTACAATATATATTTCACTGGGTGCTGAAGTTGAATGTTGAAGCACTGAGGACTGCATAACAGCTTTTTGAAGGATGCTGTAGGTATCCTCAGTATTGCAACAAGCTACTGAGGGAACAGTGAATAAACTACTGTAAAATGTGCGCTCTAAGGTGATTATGTAAGCACCCAAACATCGCACCAAAGTGAGCAGAACACAGGGAAGAATATATCTCCAACACAACTGACTGAGTGTCCATGTGGCAGTGTGCATTAGTCAAGTGCACAAAGCCCCTTGCCCTGCTACTGTAATACCATAATGGCTATGCATCACACTGCACCTGGCACATGGAACTTCAATGGTGACCTCAAGGGTCTTGTCCCATTTAGTGCATTTGCATATTTTACTGACTCACTTGCCAATCTGGCCAGCCCAATTGTAAGTCTGTGTGCCAATTTCCCATTGTAAAGTGACTTTACACCACTTTATAATTACTTACAGTACTTTACAGCTCAAACTGGCTTGTAGCCTTGAGGTGTTGACACACTAACATAAGCCATTAGGGCAGGTTTGGGCTACCACAACTCCCAATTGTGTGTACATTGGCAGGAGCCATCCTCTTCCCTCCCCAAACTTCCATTCAACATCCTCCAACATCCCCTGGCCTTTGTTGCCATTGATGGTCATGTGCAGTGAGTACCTCTGACAAGTATTTCAGTGTGCTACATCTGACAGTTCATAGCACTATCAAGCATGATTCCTTGGCCAAGCGAGCTCACTAGTTGGAATGCACCCTCGAGATTCGACCTGATTCATCTCTCAGTGAGTCCCTTTCATCTGCCACCAGTACTAGTGCCTTCACTGACAGCTTTGAAACATAGATCACTTGTATCAAGTATATCCATCCTTGCACTATGGCCCAGGCATTCAACTGGCAAGTGGCCATACTTGTATTTGTCAGCTGGGCATTGGCCTTTGCCTACATCAGCCAGCTCTCTCAGTTCTCCCCCTGTCGAACATCCTCCTAACAAGTCCTCTGAGTCTGCCACACATGAGAGTCTGCAAACTATGGCCTATCAGTGATCATTTTTTTCTGCCATTTTGTTGGCATGGTTATACTGACCATACAAAGCTTCTTGTGCCTGCAGCAAGGCCTTACACACTTGGCCAGCTGGCTGCTGAAATGTTCAACCCATCCAGCAATGAAGAAGGTATTTGATTGCTCACAGTGGGATTCAATGCCAGGTTAGTAGCCTGCTGTCTATGGTCCTGCTTTGTTCCTCACAGATGACATATCACCAGCATGTGGATGCATTTGCTAGTCAAAGTGTTTTCATGGTGTCAAGCCAGTACAGGACAATTGCATGAAATGGATATTATCTTCTGCCATCTTTCCACTCTCTCTCACATGCTACTTCACCCTTACTTTGTCTCAATGGGCCAGACTGCCTGCAACTCAAGAGGGGAGAAGACATCATAGGTTCAACCTCCCCACATCTCCTTGTGCAGCACTTTCAAGAGCTGCTGCTAATGTTTGGTTTCAACTGGCACATGGTGAGTCACTTGCTGTATGTATTTCAATGGGTACTAACATGACATCAGGCTCCAGGAGAGGCAGAGGCAGAACCTTGCTTGTCTTCAATCATGCAAACTGATCAATGCTGTCATAATGCCATACAACAATGCACTATTGTTTGGCATGACCCATGTTGTCTGCAGGTAGGTTGACTTAAATATGCAAACTGGTAGCTGGTGTGACTAATGGATAGTGACTTGCATTCTGGCAGGTTTGAAGACATGCAAGTTTACTCCTCAGAAGCCATAGAAGATTGTGCCAGTCTTGAATGGGGGGTACCTCCTTTTGATCACACTGATGAGTAGTGTAGACGATGATGTGCATGCTGTATTCAGCATGCTGAAGGTGCCACCGAAATCTCACTTAGTTCATAGACAGGCTGGATGTCACCTGTCAGTTAGTACACTATGGCTTTGGAAGGACCCTCTTCCAAGCCACTATCACACTCCAATTTGTTGAGTTTATGGAGTTTGTCACCAAGTGGCATAATGATGTCTGTGAGATACTGAGGATGGATCCTCAGCACCTCCTTGGACATAGGTACCATGAACTTGCCCACATCATCAAGGAGGAATGTGTTGAATTCCCCAACCCTGCCATACTGGCAATGTACCTATTACCTCTCACATCATGGTCAGATGGTGGACATTCCTCCATTGCCTTCATGACATCTTGTCAGCCTAATCTTCGCCTCCCTGGCGAATGTTCTGCTCACAGCATCTTGGCTGGTTACTGGATATCATCTGGTCAAGATTGATTGATGCTTCTGTTGGTGCAGCTACATGTGTGCTTCTACAGGTGAGTCTTGCAGCCATACTAAATATGCCTTGTCCAACCTCATCATCTGTCATATACAGTTCCTGGGTAATGTCAATGGTGAGGGGCTGCAATGTGGCCTTCAGGTCATAAGCCACTTTGACAAGCCACTGCCCACCTATAGGCTCTCTGTGCTGAGTTGGCCCCTAGCAATGCCAGTGGACATGGATTGGTCACCTGTCATGCACATGTCACCACTGAGTGAGGATGCTAATGGTGAGGCATTCTATGAAATAGAGGTCCCAGTGGTCATGTTGGAGTACTCAAGGCCTGACTTAGTACATGATCTTGTCCATGCATCTTCCCAGTCATCTCATGTACAGTTGGTGGATGAGGATGCTGGTCATCAGCCATTTGAGTCCATAGTTAACCTGGTTGCATTGTCTCCTGATGCTGGAGTGATTGACCTGACAGATGGCAAGGAGACACAAACTGGCATTGTTCGATCTCATGAGTGAGGACTAGTTCATGCCTAGCACTTTTTGTAACATTGTATCAGTTTGTGAGTTGCACATTGCATACACTGTTCATCCCATCCCTTACACAATACAAAGCTGTTCACCATGCACTGTGACTATTGTCATGTGATGTCATCACCTCCGAACCTCACTTGCAATCAGTCTGGGCCAATGCATGCAAGAGCACTTGGAGGACAACACTAACTCACAGGTGAGTACTCATGTCAGGTAGCAGAGTGTAGAAGGATTGGTATTGATGACAGCTGCACAACAGCTCCCTGGAGTTGCAAGTGAAGCCTGACAAAGAATATACTCACCTCATACTGGACCATCACAAGGTATGAGTTTTTTCTTTCTCTCTTCTTCTTATTTTATTTTCCCCTTGCACAGACTGCCTTGATCCCCACCTCCTAACAAATGGCTGGGTCCTGCATGAGTCTGCATTGTCCACTTCCCTGCCTGCTCTTGTTCCCACACTGTATATTTAGCACCCTGACAACTGCCTCCTCTTCATTGCTCCTACTGCCTCAGCTTGTGTTGTCACCCAGATCAGTTATGAACTCAGCTGTACTTGCTGTGATCTCATTCTAGGTAATTTTCCTTGCCTCACTTGCTTTTGACAGCCTGACCTCTCAACAAATTTCCTAGGTCTGTGCAAACAGATTTTTTCTAATGATGTCTCATCAAGGTGCTGGAGGATGTCATATCTATCTCCCAGGCTCCCTCTGGTGGGGACAAGGATGATGATGGGCAGGGCACAGTCAAAAAATACATCAGTTTCTGCCAACTCAAGAACATGATAAGGGATCCATCAAGATGAAGGAGCAGGTTTTGGAGACCAACAGTGTCAACCTGGAGGTGGTGATGTGCATTCCAGGTGTCAACTTCACTCATGTGTACTACAACAGCTGTGTTGAGATCTTCAACATGCTTGGGATTGAAGCCACTCACACAGTGAGTGAGGAGTCATCGAATTCAACAGTTCATACCTGAACTACCACTACCTGACATTGCTCTGTGACCTCATGACCCATTGTAGAGTGCTTATGGCAATCACTCATCATGGCATTAACCATGCTGACACTGGCACCCTGATGCATTGCCTGTTTGAGGAAACAGTGGAGATTTTGATGGAAGCTGCTGCTGTTGGTGGAAAGGATGATTGTCACAGCATCGCAGAAAATGTTATATTCAGCCAGCTTGTGCCTATGGGTACAGGTGCATTCTATGTCACTCTGGACATTGATGTGCTGAATGATACCATCACTGACTACCATTTCCCAGTACAAGACTTACTTGCTGCCCACATGGTTGGCAGCATGACACCAGGCCAAGTAGCAATGACACCATATGACATGAACTCACCTGCATGGTCAGAGCATAACTTCAAGGGCAAATCAGCAACATTCTCACTGCTTACTGTCAACAGCAGACAACTTTTCATTCCCCAGGTATGGGCAGGGTCACTTTTCCAATGCATACTGCTCACATCATCATACATCCTATAGTAGAGCGACCTCACTCTTTGGCACATCACTCTATGCAATGTCCCCATTCTATGACAGAAGCAGGGGAGCTGCATCATTGACATACTCCCTGACATCACCCACACTCAATCTCACATCTCACCATTTGGCATGTCATGATACAGGATATCCCCATTCTATGACAGAAGCAAGGGGGGCTGCATCATTGACATACTCCCTGACATCACCCACACTCAATCTCACATCTCACCACTCAGCATGTCATGATACAGGATATCCCCATTCTATGACAGAAGCAGGGGGGCTGCATCATTGATGTACTCCCTGACATCACCTGCACTCAATCTTACATCTCACCATTCAGTATGTCATGATATAGGATATCCCCATTCTACAACAGAAGCAGGAGGGCTACATCATCAACATACTCCCCAACATCACTGCACTCAATCTCACATCTCACCATGTGGCAGGTCACAATACAGGACATCTCCATTGTACAACAGAAGCAGTGGGGCTATGTCACCAGCACACTCCTCCACATCACCTGCACTCAATCTCACATCTCACCATTTGGCAGGTCGTGATGTAGGACATCCCCATTGTACAAGAGAAGCAGAGGGGATACATCATTGACATACTCCTCCTCCACATCACCCACACTTGATCTCACATCTCCCAGGTGTAAGCAACTTTTATCTTCTATTGCTCTGACTTCTCCAACATATCCTCCAGCTTGTAAGTTACTGATAACATCAGCCTTGGTTCTACCTATGTCATTGACTATTGATCGTTCATGTCTAGCAGCTCCTGTTCCTCCTGTGCACAGCACAACATCTCCACAGTGGTCACCTTCTAGCCCTGCTTAAAACAGTACAACTTGCCACAGCACTCATACAATATGTCTCTGTCAGAAGATGTTCATGCTCACATCACTTGCCATTTGGTACAACAAGTGATAATCGTGGGACCCTATCATCAAAGATGAAGATGTTTGCAGTTCATGTCACCTGCCATTTGGTAAATAAATGTTGGCCCTGGGGAGTGAGTCATCAGTGCTACTGATGGATGAGGTGCCATGGTCAACTTCAAGGGTGAGATCTAATTACAATTGCATGTATTGATACTAGTATAAGGAATCCTCAATCCATTACTACATGTACTTCAAACTGACTTTGCTTCGCTGTGCCATTTTAGCAAGAATTATCAGCAGCTCATGAGGTAGCATGATCAATTTCACAGACCAGGAGAGATCTAGATACATATTGCAAATGACTAGTAGGTGACATTGTAGCTAGCACTCATGACATCACAACTCCCACATTGCCAGATCAAGGACTGCTAATGCAATGTTAGTTGCCATGATGGTCAGACAGAAGGGAGCCAGTACCAAGCACATTGCATCATCCCCAGACAAGCCAAAAGGGGGGACAAGGGTATCCACTACAAAGGAACTACCCAGCTTATGAACTGCCCACCAAATCAAAGAAGCTGGCAAAGAAACTCACCTTTGGGCAGCAAAGACAAGGGCAGCATATGTGGGGCATGTCCAACGAGCACACTTGTGGCTGCAGAGCCATTTTCCAGTGGAAGGAATGCCACTGACTCCAAGTCACACTGGAGAGGATTCTGAGATCTACAGCAATCCAGAATTCAGGAATGCATTTGAGTGTGTGCCAAATAGGTGCTTGGATAAGGCATTAGCACTTTACCTTTTGTGGAGAGGGTTCCAGGAGAATTGCAGCCAGAGCACTATTGACTGAGTTTGAGCAGGATTCAAGATGTTGTGGGATGGAGTGTATGTGTCATGACTGCTTGGTTTCCCTTGATGCTCATAGAGAAATACCTTCAGCATGCATTTCTTCCCAACAGTGATGGTGTGACATTCCACAGGAACTGGCATCACAATGATGTGTGTCACCAATGGGAAGGCAACCCAGTCTTGTTGGCAGAAGTTGATGATATTGTTGCATCTATCAGACACAAGGTAAATTCTGAAGGAGCTGAACAGAAGCATTCAGGAGCCATGAAGAAGGAGTACATGGATAAAATACTTGCCTGGTCAGGATTGCTATGTCCACTTGATGCCCCACTCCAGTACATCCATCTTGCAATGGTAGGCTGCAAAACACTGCCATCAGGCAAGTCCCTGAGCAGGAAGGTGAGGCTAGCAGTCATGTGGCACCTCAAACACCTTGCCTTTGGTGCTGTTGCATTCATGCTCTGGACAAGGTAGGTACCAGTAGGCAGCATTACCAACAACATTTTGACAGTGGAATCTGACAGGAACTACAAGCTGCTGAAATTGAAGCATGGGGATGTCAAACTTGACTGGACTGTCATAGACAGTGTGTTCATGAAATATCTTCAAGGTGAAGAAGTCTCCCTCACTGTAAATGAGCACAACACTTACTTTGGGATCCACCTGAAGAATTGTAAGGGATGGCAACGAAAGTTGAATAAGGGGATGAGGGAGGCTGACTTATGAAGTCCATCCTTATATCCATCTTCACATATCTTATCCATCTGATCTCCTTTCATTGCTATATACAAGGCAATTGTTACAAGATTTATCCATGCCTGGATATGGGCAAAGTGTGTGACACCTTCCTGCACCTTGTGTTGTGGATGAAGTGGGTCAAGCTTGTCCATCTTGGGCAACTGATGACCAACAAAGACTTCCTTTTCCCTGTGATTGGCACAAATGGCATGCTACAGCCAGGTGAGCTGCTTTCCCATGACACAATCCAGAAATGGATCAATGAGGCAGTAGTGGGGTCTGGAACTCCTGGGACATTTATGACCCATTGCTATCATTGTGGTGGAGCACAGTATTGCTTCATGTTCATGCCAGTGGGGCAGCAATGGACCCTTGTGTAGGTCCAGTGGTGGGGGGGATGGGCTGAAGGTGAGCATGTGAGTACTTCATCCTCCTTCCTATCTGGGTGTGTAGTAAAGTCAACTGACTCCTTGCCTTTCACTCCACATGACTATGCAGCATGACACACTGATGTGCTACCTCCTCGATGAGTTGAATTGCTGTGAAAATGACCACAGTGATGCACTGCAGCTGGTGTCACACACCAAAGGTGTTTGGTGAGGCAGACATGGATACAGCTGATGAATGGAGATGAAGACCATAGCCCTCATGTGAAGAAGGACAGCCAGAAATGTCAGCAGTCATCCCTCACACAAGAACAAGTCATCAGTGCCAAAGAAAAAGAAAGGGAGCAAGTTAAGTGTTGGTTAAAATTCTTAAGTGCCCATGTATGGCATTCCAGTTTTTGACATATCTCTGCTGTTTCTGCAGATACCAAGACCATTCCCACACTTGCTTGTAGTGCTCAGCCATGCAATCCTACCTTCCAAAATTGGAAAGGATTTGTGCACTCCACACATTTCTACAGCACTCCCTCCAAAGGATGCTCATTTTGCTAATTCTTCTGATATGGCCACCTCCACATCAACCATTTCACTTGTCCCCTTTGCTAGGGACCATGGCTACATATATCTACCAGGAGTTCCTACCAGCTTCCATCCTGAAGCATCCTGGTACATCCCACCCTTGTCTGTGCCCTCTCAGCCCATCCAGCTTGGACAGCATGTTCTTTTTGTCAGTATGACCTCTAGGAGGACATTCTTTGGTTGCCTCAGGTCTGTCATTCACTTGGAAAGGTCTTATGTGGTGGTTTCAGTCTCTCCAGTCCAAGAAGCATATGGATCCTTCCTCCCTGCTCCCTGCAGTGTCTTCATACCAGTCTCATCTGTCATTCTTCCAAGATTGCAACAGCTACAGTATAATCTACTGTTCTCCACTCTCCCTGATCACATCCATGATGAGTATGATGCACATCTTGCCTCCTTGTTGCAAGATACAGCAGAAGACACTCCCCCTTCATCCTCTCTTCCAACAGAGCCTCATTCATGAAGTTTTTATTTGCTTCACTGAGAGGATGGTTTGGGGGGGAAAGTTACAATCCCCTATGCTCCTGTCACCCCACAGACCCCCAAAGCTTGACCCCTGTTGACATCTGACTCACCCTGTCCACTTTTGGATGTACTATATTGGCATCAGATCAGCACTGCCTCTCTGTCATCCCACCTTGGCCTAGAAGCAATCTCCTCGAGATGTGACATGCACAGCCTCCCCCTAATGTGATTCCAGTGTGCTTTCCCAGTTCCTGACATTACTTGACTCATACTTTGATGTTTTGACTGTCTTTGACTCACCCATTGCCAATACTTACCAATCTTTTGACTTTGCTTACTGATCCTTTGCCTTTTGGCTTGCTAATCCTTACCAATCCTTACCAATGCTTTCCAAGATGATTACCCATTGCTTACATTCCTTACTCATCAGTTACCAATCACTTACCAAGCATTTGCACCTTGTTTTCCATGGGCAACACCCCTGTACTGTATATAAATCACTGTACTTAGATAGCAAAAAAAAAGAAGATGTCAGAGAGCCCCTCTTGCTTGCATTTTTATCATCACTCAGTAAATCCTCCATCAGCTTTGATAGTTGAGACTTTATTAAGGGTCTAGCTATCATCTACTTCACTTATCCTTGTCTATCATCAATATACTCTGCTCCAAGCCTGCCCTGAGCTCAGTGCAGCTCAGAGCATCAAATTAAGTCATCATCCATCCTTCAGCACTACACATGACTGTGAAGGAAGTGAAGGAAACCTTGTGCTCATTATCAGTAGATGTAAGGGAGATCCACCAACAGCTCAGTGACATGAGCAACCTGGTCATAAAGGCCCTGACCTCAGCCTCTGCATGTTCAGCCCCTTCTGGACCTGTGTTGTGCCAGGACACTACTGGCAGTAACACTCAAGCAATGCCAATAGCAGGTGAGCCTCATTTATTCTGTGACTTCTACTGCACTGACTGACCAGCCACATGGATCAGCCTACCAACATTCACCTGCACAGACCACAACATTGTCACCCCCAGTGATCCAGTCCACTTCCATTCCAACAGCAGGTGAGTCTCATTCATTCTATGACTTCCATCACACTGACCAACCAGCCACATGGATCAGCCCACCTGGCATTCACTTGCACAGACCACAGCTTTGTTGCCCCCAGTGATCCAGTCTGCTTCCATGCCAGCATCCCAACTATACCTACCTATGCTCAATTTACAACTGACTCAAATGCAGTTCAGGATGCTGCAAGTTGTCCAGCCATCAGATCTTTTGCTCTTCAACATCCCTCCCCTCGCAGGTCAGACCCCAGAGGACCAAGGCCCATGCCTCTACCTCCCTTCTGGGAGTTGTCATCCCAGATGTGCCCATTTTGCACCCTGATGGGACACAGACTGCAAAGTCAGACTCTTGGAGGGACATAGTGCACCACTGGACAGAGGGAAAGCCATGGCTTGACTTGCACATTCTGCTCAAGGACTGGCCTTATCACTACTACAATGGGAAGAGCAGCCATCAATTCAACACAAAGTACTCTCAGCAATGCATCATCATGATGGAATTCCTCAATGAGTAAGTCAACTTGTTGCACTTCCTACCACTTGCCCAAGTCTCTCTGACATGGTCCCCAGATTCCAGGGGGATGAGGAGACCTTCCTCAAGATTTATGGAAGTGCCATTGGTCAAGGACACATGAAGCTCCTCAAAGCAATCTTGGCTGCCCACAAATGGTATTGTGGAGCTGGAGAGCACCATCATTGCCTCACAAGTGAAGAAGTCTGTGACAATTCTTCTTCAGTGCTCCAAGGTGCCAGCAAGCAGCAATGATGATGCATATCACACTTGCCATCCTGTTCTTTTTCTTTTTCTTTTTTTTCTCTTAATACATCTATCATCCACTTGTTGATACTATTGATACTATTGCCCCAGCATCACCCAAGCTCATGATATACTACATACATCACTAGTTGCCATACTCATACATGTGCAGTAGCCTACTTGTCATATACTTGTCATACATATGCAACACACAACACAAACATCATGAATCACAAGCATCATTTGTCCACCCATCATCGCAGATCCTGAGCATGCATGTGTGCATGCAATACCATCATGTATTGTTCTACCTGACACAGTCCTACCATAGTACATAACTACTTCAATCCCACAGAAGCTTTGGGAGTCCTTGATTGCAAGATGTGATCACTGTGACATTTACATAAGCTGGATCTAAACATGGGGCAAGGTGCCCAAACAATGGCACACAATGGCATGCCAACCCTGCCAGCCATGGCACTGAGGTGGCTGAGGCCCATGATATCACAGATTCCTGGCCTCTCAGGTCATGTGCATGTGCCTGCCACAGTTGGCAGGCACACTTCACCACCACTGCCAATTTCTCAAACTAAGTACTGTTGTTTTTACCACCAAAATCAACATTCTTTTTTCTAGGCAAGAGGTCACATTCTATTAACATCTTATCCTCTTCTGAGGCTATGGACTCCAATAGGTGGTCCTTCCACAAGAAATGCAAAGGCTGTACATTTGTGTTTAGTTGACTTACAGTAACATACTAATCACACAATATCTGCACTAAGTAAATGCTGATGCCCAACCTGCTTGGCCTCATCAGCCTGGGGGGTCCATTTCTGGCCCTGTTGAAGTGAAAGATTTCTTATCCAACAGCAATGACAATGCCCTGTCTCCACCAAATCCATGGTTCATGCAATTTGAACAGACAACAATAATCACTCCCTAATGTCCATAGTACTTTGTCTGAAAATCTGATTTGTTTCACCAGAAGTTGTGCCAACCTATATTGAGAATATCTACACAAGTGTGACTAATAGTGAAGTTGTAGCATGTGGCTCTCAGCCCTTACAGTCTTGTAATATCAAACTACCAGCCATACATACCAAGCTTCCCCCCTTGCTCTGTCACAAGCAAGGGTGGCAAGGAATGTTCCAAGCATGTTTGCATGCACCAGCACCATTCATGAAGAAGATATGTGGCTTTTGCACTTGCAATATCATGATTTTTTTACTCTTAAGCAGCCAAAGAAGAACTTGGTCAATCTATGACAGATGATATATCTCACAGCCATGAACACTCTCAACTACAGAGAAGTGGACTATGAGCTCTTGAAGATTCAGCTTGGGGAAAGAGAAGAGGTTATTGATCTCCCTCCCCTCATTAATCTCCTGCTCCACTTTGTCAGTACTGTGATGGTCACATGCCAGCAAGGCAAAACTCACCACTCCACCCCTGCCATATTTTATCCCTGCATTGACCTTGGGAAGATGATCATGAAGAAGATGGAACCAGAACATGGGAGACCACTATGGCCATGTGCAACATACATACCCTTGCCCTTGCAGCAGAGTTTCTTGGCATGTAATCCCTTGCAGTTGAGAATGCCTTATCTTACAAGACCAAGCTGGTATTCTGTACCATCTTCCTCAACCCTGACAGATCATCTGATAACAGGGACAACCTCACCAAAACCCTTTACTCTATTCTTTTTGCATGGCTCAACAAACACATCAACCAACCTCTCTGTAGAGATGACTTTGACACTTTCATTGGTTTATTCAATCTCCCTGGTCCACAGAACATGATGGGCAGATCCAACACATAGTGTAGTCACACTTAGTCACAACACATGGGCAGCCTGTGTACCAAAACACCAACACTTATATAGACCCCAAGACAGGCCCACCTAAATAGATTAGCCAGTACACATGGACAGGCCTGAGGGACTAAAGTGAGAGCAACATATGTATGGGCCTGTAAGTGCATTACCACAACATATGGGAGGGCCCATGGTGGGTAAGGATGTTGAAACATTTAGATGGGCCCATGACCAATTAAGTATACTGAGTTGCTGTAAGACATGGATGGGCCTGTCCTGGTAGGTTACACCCCTGTTGCAACATCAAGGTGGGCCTGCCTATCATAACATGGAGAGGGTCATAACATAAGGATGGGCCCATCTATGATTAGAATACAAAGTTGGCAACATATGGATGGGCCCAGGAGTAATATCATTTATGGTGTCACAACATCTAGACAGGCCCATTCATAATAAGCTGTACCCCTGTTGCAACATAAAGACAGGCCTGTTGACAGTAAGATGTACTGCTGTTGAAACATAAAGACAGGCCCATCACTAGTATCATTTAATAGAGTCACAACATAAGGTCAGGCCTGTCAGTAGTATTATGCAACATATGGACAGGCCTGTCCACAGTAAGATGTACCTCTGACAAGACATAAAGACAGGCCCATCAGTAATCTCATGTATAGCATCACAACATATGGATGGGCCCAGCCCCAGTAAGATGTACCCTGTCAAAACATAAAGACAGGCCCATCACTAATATCATTTAATACAGTCACAACATATGGATGGGCCCTTCAGTAGTATTATTTATATCATCACAACATATGGGCAGGCCTGGCCCCAGTAAGATGTACCCTGTTGAAACATAAAGACAGGCCCATCACTAATATCATTTAATAGAGTCACAACATATGGATGGGCCCATCCACATTAAGATGTACCTCTGATGAAACATAAAGACAGGCCTGTCAGTAATCTCATGTATAGCATCACAGCATATGGGTGGGCCCAGCCCCAGTAAGATGTACCCTGTCGAAACATAAAGACAGGCCCATCAGTAATGTTGTTTAATAGTGTCACAACATAAGGATGAGCCCTTCAGTAGTATTGTTTATATCATTGCAACATATGGATGGGCCCATCAGTAATATCATCTAATAGCATCACAACATAAGGACAGGCCCTTCAGTAGTATCATGTATATCATCACAACAAATGGACAGGCCCATCTAGCAAGATGCACCCCTGTTGCAACATATGGACAAGTCCATGTATGGTATTCTTAGGCAGCAGAAAGGGAGATCCAAGCTATCTACATAAGGATGGTCCATGTAAGGCATTCTCAGGCAGCAGAAAGGGAGATCAAAGGGATCTACATAAGGATGGGCCCATCCATGGTATTCTCAGGCAGCAGATAAGGGAAAACAAAAACCAGTGTTACAACATAAGATGGGCTGATCTGTCCATTGCAGGATTACAAACCCTTGGCACTGCATAAGATGGGCCAATCTGTCATATCATAGATAGCTCATCACAAATGGACAAGCCTATCCATAATTGGGTTATCCCCCTGTCACAATATAAGATGGGCCCAGGAAGACAAGAAATGAAGAAAGTGGAACCTCTTGCACTATAGAGTATCTGAATTTCCCACTATGAATTGTGTTTCATGTTGGATGATTTGCCTATTTAGTTGGAATCTCAGGTGCTGGTCTATGTAGCTGCAAGCCAGGCTCTGCCATTGGAGCAGACAGGAAACATGCAAAACAAACAGCAATGCTATTCCTGAACAATGCATCATATTTTTATCTGAGCCTCTGCTTCATATATGCATTCAGGATTATTGACTTGTACTGGTATTGCTGTCATGTCATGGGAATCATTCATAGGCAGGATAAAAAATGTGACACCCATGTATCTCATCATCCATCTTTAACCTCTGACTCTTCCACTCTCCAATCACCATCACCACTCTCACTGTCAAACTACTCCATCATCTCATCATCAGAAACATGTCATCATCATCATCTTGCAAGCTCTTCAAGAAATTGCCTGAGCTCGATGCTGCAGCCAACTGCATCCTTCAAATTTACTTCAAGGATATTGCAGAAAGCAGCAAGCTGGGAAAGGCAGACAAGATTGCAAAGTGGAGAGGTGCCATCAAGGCAATAAACAATGAACTAGTGCATCATAGCATCATCACATTTTTTTCACTAACTGATGCATTCAGGATGCTGTATGCAACCTCATCACTAGGACAGATGAGATTCTGATGACCCTCATTGGTGTTGACATGTTCTTAAAGTGGCATGAAGACCTCAGCTTGATCAAGCACCTGTGGCCTGAGTGGAAGACTGCCCTATCCCCTTCCAAAACCAACATTGCCAACCACAAGTGGCTCAACATTGTCAAGCATTGATATGACTACCACTGGTTGGGCCTCCCTATGCCCTGTGTGGTGCCAACACCAACACCACCCACTCAAGAGACTGAAATGCCTATGAGCAACAAAGGAAAAGGGAAAGTGACTGAGGCAGAGGTGGAGCAAATGATAGTGGATAGCTTGCACAGGATGGAGGTGGATGATGAGGGTGAAGATGAGGTGCGAGAGAAGGAGGACAATGAGGAAGAACCAGTGTGAGGCAGGCAGAAGTGCAAAGCTGCTGCAAAAATGACATCCCATCAATCCAGACATCAATCCTGCTCTAGGAAGGCAACAGCAGAAACCAACAATGACAAAGATGATCCTGCTCAAGGCCAATCAAAATGCAAGCCTCATCCACCATTGGACAGACTATACAGTTGCACTGCCATAGCTGCCAGAAGGACACCTTCTCCTGACCCCCATTCCTGTGAGTCATGCCACAGATGCAAGGTCTGATGCCACAAGAACCCCAGGAAGTCCTGCTTCCCATGTGATGGTGTAGGAATAGGTAATAGAAGAGACCTAGAAATAGTAATTGTCAGTAAATGGGTGAGTATAGTGCTTGACCCAAAAGGGAGGTTCTCTCTGGAGAAAGAAGTGTAGTTGGAAATGTAAAAATGCAAACTAAAATGAAGACTTAGCTCTGGGATGTCTTCCTACTGATCTGAATGTCTTGCCAGTCCTCCTGGCCCTTTGGGTACTCCCCAAAGTAATAATTCTATCCTCAAAAACTCACCAAAATGCAAGACAAAATCACCCTACTGCTGAGGGCCTGTGACACAGATTCTTTTTTGGTAAACTGAACTTGTGTGAACACAGCGCGCACACTTAGTCAGCAACGCGACTGCTCGCCACCAAGTCCAGTGGTACAAACATGAAAACAAAAGCATGAAATAAAACAAGTCCCTCAACCCCTATTTTCCTCTGACCAAGATGACTTCTCCTAGGGAACTCGAACTCGTTCCCTACATCCGAGGGGTGGTTTAGAACTCGACCGTCCTCGGTCGCTCTCCTCCTCGCACGAACATCCTCACCCTCGCATCTGCTTCCCTCGACCTCACTATGCCTCGTGCCCTTCGAACACAACTCTTCGCCCCTCTAACCTTGCACTACTTGAACACAACTCCCTTCTCTCCCGAGACCCGCTCCCAGCCTCGCAGCACAACTCTCTCTGCCCAAAAAACCTCTCGTCCTCGGACACAACTCTCGCCCTCCCCGCAGACGACCCCTTCGGCCCTCAACCGCTCCACAGCCCCCTAAGTTTCTCGAACTGAATGACCACAGAGGTAACTCTGAGCACACAAACAAGTGAGTAATAAACCGAGTGCAGAGCGAGTCGAAGACTGGTCTTCGAGGCGTAGTCTCTGTGCGAATCGGTAACGGGGTGTGACGCAGCGCTGCGGCTGGTATAGCAGACATCTGCCCTTTACGAGGCAGTTCAAAGACATACATGTACCTAAAAAAAACTCTCGCTCAGTCATGTATTTACCATCCTTATACGCATATGTGTTCTCGGCTCCTGCTCGTCCTTAAGACGAGCTAGCACATAAAAAAAGTGAAAGAATACTGAAACTACATGTCGGGGTGAGTAGAATCACTCAAGGACTAGTGCGACTCGGTTGAACGACGTCGCACAAAGCAAGACTGGTATTAAGGGAATCTATATGTCGATACGCTCACCGTGGCTTTCGCTATACCATCCTCTCGCTCTCGTACCCTCGACTCTCTGCACACGCACATGCTTGACTTCTCACACTTCGCCTGGAACTCCATCTGGTGCTTCGTCTGGTGGCCGAAGCCCTTGCGCTAAGTGTCGCCGAGCGACTTCAAGTCGTCCGTCTTCGTTTGCTACTTGTTCACTGCTAGAAACAAAACATCTCGAAGTAGCACACGTTCGAACTATAACAAAAGCTGTCACCTTAAGTCTGTAGACCCTCAAACCTGCTTCGAAGATAGGTCTTCGACTCCGATGGGTGCAGTCACTAACTTCGTTCGACCTCCACTGTCGGCCTCCTTGCTCGCTTTCGGGTGGACAAAGTCTTGGTACTAAGTGCTGACGAACAGCTTCGAACTGTCCATCCCTGTCGATCCTTTTTGCCTTTGCACTAGGGACTCTGCGGGCTCCTTTGCTGAGCTTCTCTTCCCGTGCAGCCATCCTCGGGTTCGCACCCCGTCGCGCTCGTCCCAGCTCTACATATCGCTCCCATAGCGACCTTTCATGGCATGCGCGGTTCTCCCCTCCATCTTCGAGGGACTCTGCCTCTGCTTCATTCGACACCAGCCCCAAGAAGCTATCGTAGTTGATGCTTGTCTTCGCAACTCGGTAGTCTCCTTCAATCATAGCTGACCGTTCGTGTTCGCACTCGTTGAATACCCTAACACTAAACATTCGTAAGTAACTTGTCACAAAAATGAAAGGAAACGAAGAGCGCTCGGGCTCTGGGTGTGAATTCATGTCGCTTCGAACCCGTCGAGTGCTACTTTGTTTATCTGGCAGTTGATCCGCATCGAGGTGACTTAAAACTTCGCCTGCACTTCGTAGTCCTTCGTGTATTCTAGAATAAAGCAGTCGTAAGTAAAGCGGCTCAAAGTAAAAACTGAATGTCGAGCTGCTGTGCTCGCTCTGTGTGACTCGGATGCTTCGTGGGTGCCGTCGTTGTTCTGCCAGGCACTCCCTCGTCACGAACTTCGGTACATGGCTACACTGCTTGTCTACTTGAAACCCGTCGTCGGGCACCCATTCGCTGTATCCTGCTTGCTCGCACCATTCATAGTAGTACTGTCGAGTTGCCTCGTGCAACTTCGACTCTTTGGTCCCCTGTATCTCCTCGTATGCCACTGTACTCCACCGCAGACACCGGGTTTTCCTATAGTAACACAGCTGTGAGTGGAACGACACAGAACAAAGGAGAAGGTATGAACCGTCGAGCTCAGCATGTGATTCTACAATGTCTCTCCTCGATCGAAGGCTCGCTGTTGCTTCGAACGACCATCGTTCGGTGATAATTCGAGCCCTTGTTGCTTCACATAGTCGTTCACACTTCCTTCGTACTTCGAAATGTGACCCTCCTTGTCCGTAGTTATCGCGTACTCTAGAATAACGTAGCTGTGAGCAAAATAATACGAAATAAAGGCAAAATCTTGAGCCATCGAGTGCAGCAATCAAGATCCTTCGGCTATCTCCCTGTTGAGGGACTTTTCTCGCCTCGAAACGCCATCCGTCGATGTCAGAACCCAGCGTGTCGGGCGCCTTTTCGCTTTGTCCAGCTTGCTCGCCCCATTCGTAGTAGCACCGTTGTATCGTGTCACATATCTTCGCACCGACTCTCCATTGTCTCTTCTCGTAGGTTGCTGTGGTCTCTCGTATAGCAATCGCTGGAACACCAGTCGCGTCTTGTCGTAGATAACTGTTCTCCCTATATAAACCTAGGTGTAAGTAAAGCATCCTGAAGTAAAAATGAAATGTCGAACTATTGAGCTCGCTCCGCATGATCCCAATGTCTCTCGCATGTTGCGCGTGCTCTCGTATCCTCGACGGTCGCAGTCGCGGTTCCAACGGGAGTCTTGGTACTCGTTCCGCAGTATGTTCGCACGTCTTTCGTTCGTAGTCTGTCATGGATTCCCGCGCTGCGATCGCACTTCGTCGTAGATATCTGTCTGCCCTAGAATAACGAAGAAGTAAGTAGAATATACCGAAACGAACACGAAACCTTGAGCCATCAAGCTCATCGTTCATGTCCACCGTGCCTCGTATCCACCGTATGGCCATTCTCGCATTGCATGGCCACTGCTTCGCATCCAGCGCCATCGACATCGTCTCCTGTGCTCCTGTTGTTGCCGCCGTCGTCATTGTCGCCATCGCTCGTCTATATACGATCTCCTCAGGCATAGTCTCTGTACTGAACGACAAGAACAATATCACCTTTGTGCCTTCTGACTGCTCTCCCCATTCATAGTAGCTTCGTCGGATTGCTTCGCATAGCTTCCCTCCAACGGCCCACTGACTTTCCTCGTAGGTCATCGCAGTCCATCGTATCACGGCTGCTTGGATGTAGCTCGAGCGTCGTCTCGCACATCCATTTTTCCTAGAATAGAGTAGTTGTAAGTAAGACATTATGGAATCAAAACGAAATGTCGACCTGCACTAAGTAAAGTCGTCGTCGTTTTCGCTGTCGCTCGAGTCACTGCCGATGTCGTCCTTGCTGTGGTCGCCATCGCTCGTAGCCACAGTAGTTCGCATATGGTATGTCGTTCTCCCCATTCTTCATATCCTTCGATTGCCGCGATCTTGCGTAGTCGGCCTATAATACTAGATGCGTCAATATGAAGTACTTGAGTGCGCGTGGCCACGACGCGCAGAGCGGTCACGTGACTCCGCTTAGTCAACACTGCTGGACTTTCTGTACAAGTCCCAACATCGAGCGCGCGCGTCGATTCGCTCGACGAATCCTTGAATAAAATATATATTACTGGCACCGCACGGTTCCAGAATATTTCGAGCGCGAGGTCGTCTATCCTCGCCGTATGCTTCAACATTTCGACTGGCAAAAATTCGTCTGGCAGCTTCCTTCGTGCGATAAGCCTCGATGGCTTCTCGATCCTGATTCTTCTTGCAACAACCTTCGACCCAGTGTGATTCGTGCGCTGTGGCGCCCTGTGTGAGTCAATGATCCCTTTGTCTGCCAACCTTTTCGCTTCGGGGCTGCCTGCGAGCATTTCGAGCTCTTCGACTTCAACTCTTGTGTGCTTCGGCTGTTCTTCGAGCCTTTCCGTTTCGAATTCGAGTGGAATCTTTGACACAAACAGGTCGTCGGTTAACTGATGTGTATCTTTGCTGACTGCTGGAACTCCGAGGCCGCTTCTTTCGTTGCCTTGACCTCTTAGATAGGACTCCTGTAGCAACACACCAGTAGCCATCAGAGAAACTTGATGTGAACAAGATAAAAAACCCCTTTGAGTGTTGTCATTTGCCTCGAATCCAATTGGGACCTTCATTACGAGCGGTTCTTCCACCAACACTGGTTCAACTTGCTCGAGCTTTGGCGCTTCCTGTAACTCGGTAGTCAGTAGTTCACTTGTACCCGAAGTAGACTCCTCCATCTTGAAACACGGTGCGTCTGCAGCCTTCTCAATGTAGTTGGTGCTTGGGCCTTCGCTCGCCATCTTTTCGGGTGAACTCGGTGGCTGCGTGTGACTCGCCGACACTGTCATCGGCATTTGCTCGTGCTGCATGCACTCCGGTAATTCCGTAGATTCCTGTATATCAGTTGTCAGTGAGTTACATACGGAGGAACTTGGAAAAGGCTTTGTAGGTAGTTGCTGCTCATCCAAACTAGATCTCTGGTTGTTTCGAGGCTTGTAGTAGTCTTCCATGCTCGTTCGCGCTCGCTCCGAGCGAAATCCTTTGCGTAGTAGTCGTGTAGCTGCATATGTTACTTGCTGCATGGGCCATGGATCATCCGAATGTTGCCGTTGATCGTCGCGTCGCATTTTCCGAACGATTTCGCGCCGGAATTCCTTGCCGAAGCTGTGTAAGTATAGGTCTTCAACTTCGTCAGCCTCGAGCTGTCTCGAGACCCGTAGATATGTTGCCAAGTCGAGGAAATGTAACCTGTAAATTGTTAGCTCCTCCTGTGAACCAACTTTTCTCCTTGCGAGCCTGTCAACAACATCAGTAAATCACTTTGAGCTGTGGAGCTCTCCACAGTGCTCCATAATACAGAGTCCCCTAGCTAGGTCCAGGCTGGACAGATGCACCCAACAACACTTTTTGCTATGGCTAGTTGCCTGTTACTATGGAATGGTCACATTGTCATGGAACTTTGTCCAGTATCTTACTATGGATTGCTATGGAACTTTCATGCTTAGATATCACTGTACAAAACTGGCCAGACTGTATTCTCCTTGGGGTGTTGTCCAGTACTCCCCATCTCAATGTTTACTTTGCAAACATGTGATCACTCCACAACTAGGAACAGTTCACAGCAGGTATGACAGGAACAGGAGCATTGGCATCAATTGTGTACTACATGTAATGACAGGTATGACAGGACTAGGTATTATGAAATCAATCAAGGACTACCTGAATGTGCTGGTACCTCTCTACATTTGAATCAACCTCTTGCAGTGCAGCCCTGATATGAGGAGTCAGTGCGAACATGTTGGCCACCCCAGTACTTACCATCCTTCCTTTGCCCACTGAGAAAGCTGATCACACAACCTTGCACCATGATAGGGATTATGAAGGATGTCATTCAGCACCTTCATCATGCCATGGAAAATGGAATTGTAAGCCTTGCTGGAGAATTGAGGCATCATCTTTCCTGTGCCATTCTTCACAAATCCATCCAACACACAATGATACTGTGAGAAAAGTTTGAGTTGTAGTGACTCAGGGTGTAAAATAACTCACTGTGGCTGCAACAAGAGCCAGACAGGAAAGGGGAACTGAATTGTTGAAGGACTCAGGATGCTTATCCACAATTCAATAGGTCCTGGTATAGTAGAATTGTATGACAGCTTCCTTGAGGGTGGGGTGAGCAAAATTCCTGGTTTTTCCCTGATAAACCAATCTGTTAGTAGTGCAGACAATGAACCATGTGAACATACATTCTTGTTGAAACTGTCTTGCAGGAAAAGTGAGTTGTCAAGGAGCTTTGTGGCAGTGGTCTCTATCCATTGTACATGAACCCATGGTGCAACATCAGAAGGAGGGATAAGGTTGAATGTGGATGGTGTGGTTGCCAGTGTAACCAACTTCAATTCTGAACACCAGGCAGATATATCACCAAGGAGCTACCAGTGGTATGTCAGTAGCTGTAACCAAAAGATGGGACTACTTATGAGGCATGCCATATCTTGCTTGTGGTCAGGCCAGCAACCTATAAAGTTAGGATAACAAGACATGTATAAAGTGAAAATATTGTTACTCACCATCTTCAAATTGCACACCATGTTGATTCCACTCAATGATGACAGTGACGAGCACCTCTGTTATGGAGAGGTTGAGGTCATGAGATTTCGATGGGAACAGGTTAGAAAGTGCATGTGCAGCCCTGCATTCTCGCTTAGCATCTTTAAGACAGTCCTTCCATACTTCCTTGTAAAATCTCAGTTGTGAAGGCAATGGGCCCTCATCCTTAGCTTTCTTGGAGTTATGAGGGGCTCTGGCACACTGAGATACTTCGTTGACTGAGTTGTGCACAAGGGTCAGAAGATCACAATTGGGAACAGGATGGCCGTTAGTGCAATGGTGGCATTCAAGAATGTCAACAACAGCACCACATTGGGAACCCTAAAATAACAATCTGAATAAATAAAGCTAGCAGGAATGGCATTTTTGTACCTCTGGCTGAGCCTTATCCTTGGATTGTAAGCTTTGCAGAGTTGCATCATCATCCTCATCACATGAGTACTGAAACTCATGGTCAGGGGGTAAGGAACTGTGGCGAATAGGATTGCTTGTCATCATTTCTTGGGAGAAGCCTAACAAAGAATGTCGAGCCAATACCATAATAACCTCTGATGCATACCAGGATGAGTTGATTGCCTAAGATTCGTTGCACCCCATCCAAATGCATCATCCTCATCTTTGTCAAACTCATTGCTGGAGACCTCACCAGCCCCTGCATCTGATGGGTTATTACTCAAGGACTCTGACTCCTCTTCTGAGGAGCCCTCTGATGACAGCTTCTCCAAACTCTTGTGGCAAACGTCAGTGGTTGCCAAAGTTTGTCTTGATGAGAGCAAGCTATCAAGGGAGGGGTTGATACAAGAGTTGGGGATGGTAGCAGGTGGCTGGTGGGGGATAAACCAAGACTGGTAGTTGGGCTGGGGTGTTGGCAGATGAGATGTATTACTGGGAACTTGGTCTCCCTGAATTGTGGTGATATAAGGATTATTGAGCACTTGAAGGTCAGGTTCCATACTGGGAGGCACAATATGACCTGGCTGTTGAGCTGGAACACTGAAACAAAAGCAATGGGAGTCTGTGGGGTGCTGATGGAAGACAGGTGTTGCTACTGCTGTTGAAGACTGAGGGACAGGATTCTGAAATGAACATTGTATATCAGTAAGAAAAGACACTCACCAGAGGCATATCAGCTGGGCTAGGACCATTCACAATGGGAGGCACATAGGGTGGTGGGGCAACATTGGACTTTGCAAGCAATTAGCTTGATATTTGCAAATAACTAGAACTGACCTTTGGTTTTGCATTCTGGCCAGCACTGTGGCCCCCACCCTTTTTCCACCAAGTGGGCAGAGGTGCAAGAGGATTTACAATGGAATTGTTGGGGAGATCTGTTGACTTTCACAGCCATGTAGCTTGGCCTTCAAGGGCAGTACCAATCCACTCCAATTGCTCAGCCCTTCCACCTGAACCTGCCCCTGCCCTTCTGCTATGACAGAGTCCCACTGTGGCAACAGACTGAGACTCTTTGAGATTGATGGGTGGGCTTCCTAGATGCTTGTTTTTTGCAGGTTGAGTGCTTCCATCAGCCTCTGGTCATCATTTGGCTTTTTTGCTATCCTTCTTTTTCAGCAGGATTGTTCCAGATTGGGTGGACATCTGAAGGTACAAGCAGTTAAATGGAGAACAGTATAAAATGGAAGCCTGGGGACCACAACAAAATGATATCTTGTGAATCCATATAAATGTTGACAGGTTCATTGTGAGATGTAAAATGAAACAATGCACAGAGATGGTTACCCACTGCAAATGAATTGAAACACTTTACACATAATGTACAGAACATGAACTAAACATAAAATTCATGCTAAGACTACACACCTTTGAAGTGTTTATTGGGTATAGGAGGGTTATCCATGCTCCTTACCTCTTCACAAAGGCATTTAGAAGACATAATTGCTGAAGACATAACATCCATATTGTTCTCCTGACTTGGATGCATGCTTGAATTAAGCACTTTGTGCTGGGTGATGATCTGCTGGAATGCATTCATCATCTCCAGTGGTTTCTCATATGGCATGCTGGCCAAGAAACAATTAGAAAGGGAGATAACATCAGAGAACTGCACTGCAGTTCTGCTCAGCAGGGACTGCCCAAGCAATATGTGCCACTCATTAGCCAGAGGGATTAGATCTTGAAAATATTGCAAGACCTTGGAATCCAGCCTTGATTTGGATGGGTCATTAAGGAATGTGAACTTGGCACATCTGGTGATTTTGAGATCTTTGGCCACCTTTTCACTCCACAAGCCAAGAAGTGTCTTTTCATGGCTGATATCTTGATGCTCATGGCCAAGTGGCCCATCATAAAGGATGAGGATCCAGATAATATTGAATCCCTGTTCTATGTTTTCATCTGGATCCTCATCCTTTATGATGGGCCACTTGGCCATGAGCATCAAGATATCAGCCATGAAAAGACACTTCTTGGCTTGTGGAGTGAAAAGGTGGCCAAAGATCTCAAAATCACCAGATGTGCCAAGTTCACATTCCTTAATGACCTGCCCAAATCGAGGCTGGATTCTGAGGTCTCACAATATTTTCAAGATCTAATCCCTCCTGTACAGCAAATTCCCAGTCGAGGAGAAAGCTGTGTGACCCATTTGCGAAGTCCTCGATCATTGTATTGTTGATGCTACAATCTCAATGGAGGACACCCCTCTCGAGAGCCTGCTGTTGGACTGTTAAAGCAATTAGTATTGATTTTACAAGTGGAAGAGGATATGTACTTTGTAAAATATCTCAGATACATGAAACGAGTTCCTTTTTTGTCTTGAGCATTACCATTGGCCTTGCACATGGCTTCATAGCCAATTGCACATGAGTTCTCTGAGACTTCATGCACAATCGCCACTTCTCATCACAATATTGTTCAGTTTTATTGACAATGCCTGGCTCAACCTCAATGACCCAGTAGTGTTGCAACTTGGGAACTCCATTGATGTCCTGGACCGGCTTCATCATGTTGACTTCATGCAGGGCTGTCCTCTGCTCCAACTCCTCCACCCAATAATCCTTGATGATGTAGTATTCCCCATTATAGTGTCTGAGGTAACAAACAGTACCCCTTCCTAGAAAGCCTGTGCTCAAGAAGAATAATACATTGAGCACCTCATAGAAGGTCTTGTTTACTTGGATCCTCCTGATTGCTGGGATGTGTTCAGGTGATGTGGGAGTCAGGAGTGAGTTTGCACTGGGGAGGATGCCTGACTCCAAGTGAGGAGAAGGCATTGCAGGAGAGGGGAAAGGGGAGAGAGGTATTGCAAGTGCTGTGCATTTGTGGCTGTGTGCAGGATGGGGGGATATCTCTATGGTCAAATCGAAGCCAAGGGTTGAGCAGGAGCCAAAGGCAATGGCACATACAATGTATATGAAGACTTCTGCATCAGTGTGGATATTGATAGAGGGTGAGATTGCACCACCAGAGTGGTTGTAAAAGTGAAGTTGAAGAAGTTTGCTATCAGCAATTGATAATCCAAGGACATAACACCTCCAGGGCTGGTTGATGAGGGTTAGATATGCCTTAGTGTCCATTGTCTTCCCAAGGCGGGATGCTGGCTTGAAAGACTCCTTTGAGTACTCAGCAATGACTTTGGGACTTAACCACATAATCTTGTTGAGGGATACTGGGGTGTTATTGACAAGGATGAGGTCAGGCTTTTGGGAATAACCT